AAAACACAGGTGAAGAAAATTCGATCAAACATTGCCAAACCCTATTTATAAGCATCGGATTGTGACCGTTGGATTTCGTCACTAGGGGCGCGTCGAACCGACGCGACCCCTAATCCTAACCGACGCCGCCCTTTCTTCTGATAAGACACCTACTGGTATACGTGGCTACCTATTAAAGTCGACCGTTACCTCCTTTAAGACCATTACGGCGCGACCGTTCGGTCCACACATTTACTCGTTGACCGTTACGACCGTTCAGCACTTCTGTCATTAACTGCCTGAAGATTGCCCAATATTCACCAAGTGTCTCCACTTCGGCATACAGTCTGCACTTCGGACAAATGATCCACTTCGGTTACGTCGGTAGACCGACCAAAGATGATCCACCGAACATCGTAGATAACATCGTACCACCGACGTCTTGCCGATCCAGGGTCTGTAAATACCTGGTATATTGCAACATCAACGACCATAACTCCGTATGCCCATCGATGTTGGGGGCCTCTCTGTTATCATCCAACTCGGCAAGACAATGTTAAGAGGTTTTGAGCATCCTATTAAACATGATTAACAGTTAAACCGACATGAATCAGAACCGTACCGACCTACACCAAAGAACCGGTCTGAACCACCGAAGACCGAAGTGATCGACGATTACCGAGGTCAACACCCACCGAAGACATCATGAACCGAGGTCGTCACCTCCTTAAGTAGGTGACAAGGCATCTACGAGAAGCTCTCCTACACCACAAGATCTGTCATCATTTACGTGGGGCCCCCTGCCTCGAACCGCCCATAAAAAGCCACTTTATTCAAAAAAGTAGTACGCGGATCCCGATGCCTCAACCCAAAAACTACTATAAATAGTGGACCTACGACAATTGTAAAAGGATCTCGGTTTTCTCGAATTACCGAACTGTAAACTCTTTACCACGTAACACGTAAAAGCCCATCACGGCTCTTCACCTCGGTTCACCTCGGACCGGGGCCATTGCTGATGCAATCTTACATGCTTTACGTTCAAATCCTTCCAAATTAGTCACTTAAATCACAAATTACATCGTTGTAAATAATCACATAACAACAACGTCCACACTCCGTGGCCTGCGGGGATTCGGTGTTTTGAGGTGTTGGTGAATTTATTCAAATGTTGTTTAATGGGATCAATATTTGATGTATAAATTCAAAACTACTTGACTGAGTAAAGACTGTTTGCATGATCCCACGAATCCAAAATTTCTTTCAATCCGTTGTCCGTAATTCTCAAAGAAAACAAACTTGTTGGTCCCAATTATATTGACTGGAAAAGGAACTTGGATATAGTGTTAACTGTTGAAGGGTACAAATTTGCTAATGTTAAGGCTTGTCCGACTGTGCCTGCTGACAATGCACCAGACCAACAGAAAGAGGAGTATGCTTGGTGGAAAAAGGCTGACGAGATGGCAAAGTGTTACATCTTGGCATCTTTGTCAAATGTACTTCAACATCAACATCAGTCTATGAACACTGCAGCGGATATGCTACTCAATCTCAAGGAGTTATTTGGTCATCAGTCGCGGGCTGCCCGACAAGAGGCCATGAGTGTTCTGATGAACATGACCATGCGCGAGGGCACTCCCGTAAGGGAACATGTTCTTGCTATGATGGCCCAGCTGAATAAGCTGGAGGTTCTTGGGGCTTTTATTGATGGAGAAACCCAGGTCGATATAGTGCTCCAGTCTTTGTCGAAGAGCTTCGAGCAATTCTGGTTGAATTATAACATGAACAAGATGTTGATGACTCTTCCGGAACTTGTTGCTGAGCTTCAGGCGGCATAAGGCCTGTTTCGTCAGAAAACCCAAGCCATGGTGGCCCAACGAGGAGAAGCTTCCACTTCTAAGGCTCCGAAGGGCAAGAAGAGGAAGAAGTCCGCA